TATGTTCTCTGTATCATAAAAAAAGCCCTGACACGTGCTCACCCTGTTGTTGGTGTCAGTAGTGTCACCGAATATTACAGTGCACAACCTCTTCCCTTTCTCTTACCAACATACAAAATGTTCCCTGAAGCATCTGCAGCATTATGATAAATAGCACTGCAGACATCTCTTTAGGACAGCCCTCTAGAGCAACTGTGAGCTTTTGCTAACGATAGCACTTGCTGTAATGCTGCAGTCCTCTTGTTAATTGTCTCTTGCTGCATACAGTAGCTGCAGGTCATCCATGTGACAGTCCTGCAGTGCCTCTTTTTCTGATCCTTCCTCTACCTACAACGCCAATCACTTAGGCTCATGGGTTTTTTTTGTACTTGCTTAAATTATTATTTCAGTGCTCTGTATTTCAGGGAGTGTTTGTGACTGCCTCTCCTTCTCCAGATCACTCACTTTTCATATATTCCTCCATCCTTCCTAAGGATTCATCTGTCTGTCTGTACTTCCCATCTCACTAACTTCTCACTTCTCTTGTTTTACTTCATCCCACCCAAGCCTGAAGGAGTTGAGAAGGAAACAGTCCAGAACTCTGTGCTCTGTGTAAAAGGTAAAGCACTCTCCATTCTCTCCATTTGTTCCTGTGTGGTTTGAAGGGTGGGATGTGAGTTGAGGAGGAAGATGGTGCTGCCATACTCCAAGTAGGCTGATATTTTTAGTTAATCAAAACATGCCCCATCAGTTGGAGACCTAAGAGAGAAGAAAGCTCTGGAGAATGGACCATCCTGCCTAAGCATCAGGGTATAAGCTAGAACAGATTTAGTATGACTGTTTGCATCCCTGTTCTATTGTGTGTGCTGACACTGGCATTACAAATGCTATCTCCTGTTTTCTAGGTGCCAAGTTAAAAGATGTATTGATGTGATCTACAGTGACCAACTGTGGCTGGGGGTGGTTTAAAGCAGAGATTGCCTTGTAGCCAGGGAAAAATGAAGTGGTTGAAGTCAGGGCATTTCTAATGGGAACTGTTCCTCTTTCACTGAGGCCCCCTCCCCTTCCATTAGCCATTTCTTGAGACTTCACTGAAGCTATTTGTGCCTTGTTTCTCTCTCAGGAGTGCCTGTGAAAGAGAAGTTTTCCCTGTTGCTCCCCCCAAATGTGGTACAAGACTCAGGCAGAGCATATTTCTCAGTTCTGGGTGAGTGAGCAGCCTGGGAGAAAGAACCATGTGCTTTTTCTGCCCCTCTGTGCTGCAGCTCACTCCTCCCTCACAGCTTTTTCCTCTTGGTTTCCAGCACAGCTCACTCCTCCCTTTCATCCCGTCTGTCTTGAGCACTTTCCCTCCCAGTTGTGCTCTCTCTTCTCCCCTTTCTGCATGTGCTTTTGTTCAGGGTTCTCTGCCAGTGCCCTAAACTTTCTCTCATTTACCTCTTTTCCTTTTTCTCTGCTGTTCTGTGTTTTCTTTTGTTCTTCACTGTCATCTCTTGCTTCTCTCATTCAGTAGCTCCTTCTGACAGCCAGCCCTGAGTTTTGTTAATATCCCTCTTGGTATCTTCTATTCCCCAGGCGACATCATGGGCACTGCCATGCAGAACCT